TCAGTTGAATAGAGTGGGGCATATTAACATATAAACATCAAAGCAATATCTAGTCTTTACTCAGGTCGCTTATGCTCATCTTAGGTCATAATATCATTCACGCTTGTTATACTCCACTCATCAGGACCGAAGACACGATTTTCAAAAATGGAGAGGAAGGGCACAATTATCAATATCTAAAAAACGGTCCTCTATATTTTGAAATTTTCATATATATAAAAGGTCCTTTAGAAAAAAAGTATAGGAGGAGGGGGGATTCTGGCCCTTCCAGAGTTGTTGGCCTTGTTTATTTAATATGAATTTTAAGATAAAACGTTGTTTTATTGTTGTCATTTTTATTATTTGTATTTGAATATTATAGACAAACCGTCATTGTACTACATTTAAAATTATTATAAGCGTATCTATTTCCGTCAACGTATTTTTGTTTAAGTACAGTCTAGATATTGTTTTATTTTTGTTTTGTTTACAAAACAAAAGGTTACGAGCTTAGTCCCAAAGAATTTGAATGCGGTTGAACTCTCATCTTTTATTTTTATACTTCTAGGTTTATAACAATCACCGTTCTAAATGATAAACTTGTTTTGAAAATCTAAATCATTTTAAATCAATTTCTTTTGATGTAAACTTATTTGTGAATAAAATTTTGTATAAAACAATAAATATATAAAGAAAACGACAATAGTTTTTCGTTTGATGTTTGAAAATTTTTTTAAAATTTAATAGTTTATGTTCTGTTTTTAAACATTTAATTAATCCGGAACTAGAAATATTTAATTTACCTCTTTTTGTATAGTTTGATATAATATTGACACTAAATCTTGAATTATTTTTGATAAATATACCCTTATTATTGCAAGGTGGAAAGCAAAAAAGTCAATTATAATCAGAATACAATTTGAAAAATTTTGATTGATAGCATGCTTAATTTTTTGACATCTTAATTTGCAGGTTTTTTTCTTTATTCGTGTTCTTTATTCGAAAATATGCGGTTTTTTCAACATTAAAAGCATTATTAAATATCTAAGATTAAAGTTGTATACATTTTACGCTTTTAAATTAAAACTTTTGAAAATATTAAAAAAAAAATTTCTTTTAGCCAAAAATATTATTTTCCTTATTTATAAAAGCAGTCTTAGTAATAAATTTGAAAAGACTTTTAATTTAGTAACTAAACTTTAATTACAAATAGTGTTTAATGTAAATAGGTAATAAGAAGTTATGAAAAAAAGACCAATCGTCCAAAATGGGATAAAAACTCTATAAAATATACAGTTTAGCTGTGATTAGTATTAGTATTAGTAATTGATGTAACTGGTGTGAACCAGTGGGTGTGGTACTAACACACTATGACAGCCGATTCGCTTATTTGCTGCTCATCCAGCAATCAAGATTTGCTTTAAAACTGTTAACTGATTGTGCTTTAACCAACTCGCTTGGCAAAATATTTCATAAATTGGCCGATCTATTAAATAAAAAGTTTTCACGACATGCTTGTTTCGTGATTTCTTTGACATATTTAAAGATGTGACCTCTCGTTTGAGTTTGTTGAATACTAATTTTTTTGATTGTTTTTAAATCGTTAAAACCATTGAAGAACTTAAAAAGTTGAATCATATCTCCCCGTTGTCTCCTTTTTGTCAAAGTAGTCAAGTCGAGGGCTTTTAGACAATTCTCATAACTGATTTTTTTAAGTGATGGTGTTAATCGAGTTGCACGATGTTGGACTCTTTCTAATAATTCAATTTCTCCCTTTTGAATAGGTGACCAAACTTGTACTGCAAACTCTAACAGTGGTCGCACAAAAGAAATATAAAGTATTCTCAGCAGTCTAACATCTAAACAAACAAAGCATTTTCTAATCCCACTAATTACAATGAAAGAGTTGTTGCACTGGAAAGTATTTCATCCAAAATTTTTGTGTCATCTGCATACAGCTTGGTTGGATTTTTTAGAGTTTCAGGCAAATTGTTTATAAATAGTACAAACAATAGTGGTCCAATTAGTGACCCTTGTGGCACACCACTGGTAATTTCTGCCCAAGAGGATACATTTTCGCCTATCACAACTCTTTGTTTTCTTTCCTTTAAAAATACTTCAATCCATTGTATTGTCAGACTAAATATTCCATAAGCAATAAGTTTAAACAACAATCTTTTATGGGGCACTGTGTCAAATGCCCTGACGAAATCCAAAAAAATTATTATTAGATGGCCTCTGATGATGTTTCCCAAAACAAATTTAGAATCTATTTCATTAACACTTGCTGACTGAGTTGTAAAGATTAAATCTAAGGTATTCCCAAGTTGTTCGTTTGACAGCTGGAAAGTTGGTATGTTAATATGCTGATAAAGAAAATTATCATTTAAAACATCTCTAGATTTATATGTAATTCCATTTTTATTTAAAATTGCATCAACACAGCCATTTGAAAAGTTGGTTGATGGGAAATTCAAGTCACCCTTGATAAGTAAGTCTTTGAACTTATTTTTGTCTATATATTTGCGTGCAAGGCCAAAAACCACATCAAATTCAGCCATAACCAAAATATCATTTGGCCTGTAGATACATCCAAGTAAATACTTGTTATTATCAAAATAAACAACTGCCCACACTTGTTCTAATTTACAGGGGTTTAGAACAGCATCATTTTGTTCATAGGAGTCTAATGAGTTGTCTGTATATAAACAAACACCACCACCTTTTGATCCGTCTGATCTGTCTTTTCTATACAGATGGTAACTTTTAATGTTTACAACTGAATCACTTTTAAACCATGTCTCAGTCGCAGAAATTACATTTGGTTTATATTTTTTAATTACCACTTTGAACTCATTTAACTTGTTATCAAGAGAGGTATCATTTAGGTATAAACATAACAGCTTTTTAATTTCATTCCAATCTGACACTGAATTATGTATAAATTTATTCATCAAATTTCTTTTTGAACTTAATGATCTTATTGCCACGGACCAGAAGGAGTCATTGCCTGTTCTTGCTTGATTCTAAGTCAAATCTGGACTAAGATAAATATTTTTATGTGCAACATTAATTCTCAATTTTTTAGCTGATGCTAACATTGTGATGCAAAGAATATCCTATGCTAATTCAATAAGAATTGGATCTGATTTATTAGTTTTAGATCTCAACCGTCTTACAAATTTTGATATTACATTCTCTTGATTTATGAGCTTAAAAATTTCATTTACTTTTGACTCGTCTTCTTTTGATTTCATTTCTATGCTATCTTTAGTTGATTCAGCTAATCCATAATTAGACGAAAGAAAAAGAAGAGAATAAAATTGACATTTTTTTCTCTTCTTTTTCTTTCGTCTAACTCATTAATGGCTACATTAGTTAACATCAGGTGTTCTGTAGGCTTCTTTTTTTGTATACCCTATTTGACAATAAGCGACCAGTCACTGATAAACTTGTTTGACTCAGGTGCTTTATTTATTTCTATCTTCAGATTTGTAACGTTTTTATCATTTTCAGTTTTTGTTGTTTCTAGTTTTATCACGTGATCAAAGAGTTCCAAAAAAAGCGTAGAAAGCTGGCTATGCCAGTTATGAATGTCTTTAGTTGTTTGAGATTGTTTATTTATTTTGTCCTTTGAAATAAGCAAATGTTTTAATGTTTTACAACATAATAATATAAATTTTTGAAAAATTCCAACTAGAGCTGGCAGAAGACATGGTCTTATCATCCAGCCCCGTTGTTACAAATTTAGATATAATCTTGTATATAATACTCATAAATAAATTTTTTTTATTTTTTATTACTTAGTATTAGAAAAAGATTTAAATCTCTACATCGCCATATTATCAATAATCTTCACCATCATATCGTCATTAATCTCTACATCATAATCTTCACCATCATATTGTCATTAATCTTTACATCATAATCTTCGCCATCATATTGTCATTAATCTCTTCATCATAATCTTCACCATCATATTGTCATTAATCTCTACATCATAATCTTCACCATCATATTGTCATTAATCTCTACATCATAATCTTCACCATCATATTGTCATTAATCTAGCTGATCAAGATATAAAAAAAGCTCACCACAATTTTGTAATGAGATTGGTTTTTTCAAACAATTATTGTCAATAGAAACTGAAAAGGATTTTGTATTTTATATCAAGTCAATGAAATATTTAGAACACTTTTTTAAGTTTATTTGTTTCAGAGCATTTTATAATAGTTTCTTTATTTTTTTTGTTTTTTTTTTTATTGTTTTTTATGTGTATGGGTGTAAGAACATGTTTCTTATGCGTCCCTGTGTGCCACGTTTTACCCTAAATATAAAATATACTTGAAAAATTACAGAAGTAATTTATCAAGTAACTCATAGGTAAATATTTCTTCATTTTATCTCCATTATAATTTACTTAATTTATTTAAATTTACTTTTGAATAAATGAAAATCATTAACTATAAATGCTTAACTTGTATAGTGAACAATGATTAAAAGTTGTGTCAATTGTTTAATGCTATATAAGAAAGAATAAGTTTTATTGTCAACTACAGGTTTTGTATCATTTATTATTATAATTCTTAAATACCAATTTACGGATTATTTGGATAATTTGTAATTATAATTTATAACTTGGTAAACATGTTGTTTTAAAATTAAAGGTTATTTTATTAATTATTGCAAGTCGTATTAATAACTGCTGTTTTATTCTTGTATTATTTTTATTTTATACTTTTTTATTATTTATTATATTATTTTTTATTATGTGTTAATTTAAATTTATATTTATGTGTTAATTAGTATGTATGTATACTCATTAATAAATAAATTTATTATGTATTAATTATTTTTAGACATTTGTTGTTTGTAAATAAATCTTAATAACACAATAGCATCACAATTTAATATTTTACTATTAAATAGTTTACTATTATTACACGAGCATTACAAAATACAAAAATACACTACAGTTATGCAGTTTGCAAAAATAAAAATACAAATAAAAACCGTACCTTGCGTGACGATGAAGACGCAAAGCAACGATTGTAAAAATAGCATTTTTACAGATATATATTATAACCTTTATATCTGACAAAATAAATATATGCAAAACTACTAACTATAAAAACTTCAGTAGAAAAGTTTACAATTTAAAAAAAAATTCAAATAGACGAAAATCTTTGGACATTTTTTCCTATTACGTTCAACACAATTAAAAAAGACTAAGTACTAATGTTAAATGTTGTCTTATTTATCACACAGCGTGTGTACTTTTATTCAGGAAAACCAAATCGTAGTAATTTGACACTAAATATACGCAAAAGTTGCGAAGGTATAAGTTTATCTAATAAACTTTTGTCTTTTACACTTTTTTAATTAATGTTGTATTTATTGATGACACTATATATATATATATATATATATATATATATATATATATATATATATATATATATATATATATATATATATATATATATATATATATATATATATATATATATATATATATATATATATATATATATATATATATATATATATATATATATATATATATATATATATATATATATAAAAAACCTGAAGATTAGATTTACGCTCTTGTGACAATAGTTTTTCTGTGTAGTTTAACGTAACTAGTTGCAATTGTATATAATTTTTTTCAACGAAAAATCTATATTTGTATTTTACCTGATGATTGTAATAGCATGAAACTTAAAGTTGTGAAAATCACGGAGTTTTATTTTTTTACTATATATATATATATATATATATATATATATATATATATATATATATATATATATATATATATATATATATATATATATATATATATATATATATATATATATATATATTCCTAACCAAAACTCATAGGTCGCAATAAGTACAACTATATATATGAATGTGTGAATATATATATATATATATATATATATATATATATATATATATATATATATATATATATATATATAATATTCACACATTCATATATATAGTTGTACTTATTACGACCTATGAGTTTTGGTTGGGAATATATTTGGGAATATATATATATATATATATATATATATATATATATATATATATATATATATATATATATATATATATATATATATAAATTCCACTGGTTCTAGAAACAATCCAGTAAATAGAGCTAAATGGTTTTTATCATAATAACACAAACAGAAAACCCTTCAGTGCTTTGTACTAGGGTTTTTTCATCATGTAAAATTCACTAATTTGGGCAATCTTCCCCTTAGATATTTTGGAAATTTTTTTATAAATTTATATATTATCAAAGCTTGATTTTTTAATAATTTTGTATAATGCAAAAAAAAATTGGACTATTGGGATATCAATATGACATAATTTCATAGATTAAAAAAGTGCAGAAACTAAAGTTTTTATGATTTAAATCTGAAAATCGCCCTCCCCCACCTCCCACTCAAATCTCCCCACTACTTTATTCTGGATCCATCGGATCTAAAAGTTGTCCATACCTCTTTCTTTTCTGGATGGTCTGGATCTATTGAATCAAAAAAGCCTAAAAATCGCCCTCCGTTTCTAAATAGGCTGAATCTGCCCCTGGTCCATACCTCAATTTTATTCATTTACAAGTAATATAAGATCAAATTTTTATCCCAGGCAGATCAGTTGTAGTCTCTCATTTTAATATCCTGCTTTTTTGCAGAAATATAAAAAATATTTCACCGATCTAAAATTTGCTAAATAAATTTTTTCACATCCGAAAATTAAGCAATACTTTTATTGTTGAGAGATAAAATAGATAAACTGAATCAAATAGATGAAGTAGATAAACTGAATCAAAGATAAAGTTGATAAACTGAATCAACTAGATAAAGTAGTTAAACTGAATCAAAGAGATGAATGCCTTGAAAGTCAGCAGTTAAAAGTTTTGTATATTTTATGATGGTCTGTTACAGATCCTTAAATCTGTTTATAACAGCAGATTCTATTACATCAATGACTTGATTTTTTCGCAACACTGAGTAAATTTTTTCACAACAATAAATTAGTTTTTCATTTCATTTCATTTCAAACACAATTTCAACAACAATTTAATTTCACAACAATCAATTGTTACTGATGTTATACTGATGTTAGTTTGTGAACATGGTAAACAAAAGCCGTTAAGAATGTAAGAATTTCATTATGAAACAAATGTCTCTTACATTTTTCATTATGAAACAAAGCATATAGATTACCTTAGATTTTGGAACATTCTTTTCTATTCTATTTTAAACTCCACCCAGATAAGCAACTTTTAGTTTTTTTACCTATTTTTTTGTAATGATTGCAAAAATTTTAAACCTTTTGACATAAAATTAATTAAATTAATTGAATCATTTTGTGTTAAGATAAGACTATTTTCTTAATATTTGTGTATAATTTATTCTCACAATGAAAAATTAGGGGTCATTAAAATATCAGAAAAAAAAATTATCAACTTCAACTTTGATAGAAATAATGGTGTTTGTTAAGTCAGAAAGTTTCGTTGTTAGCTTTGAATTTCGTATATAAGTCTTAAGAGTTATTCGAAACTAATATAAATAATTTATAAATAAACTATTTATAGTATAATATAAGTAAGTTTTGGAGCAGTTGCCCATTTCTAAAATTTTAATTGAAAATAAAATTATTATAAAAATTTTAATTTCAAAGTAAAAAATCGAAGAATTTTTTTTTTATTTTAATTTTTTTGACTTTTTTACCTCAAAGAACTTATGTTATTTTGTCTTGACTTTTTACAACAAAAATTTGTTTATACTTATTATTTTCATTTTTTATCAATGTTTTTTAGAACTTTTAACTAAAAAGTTTGAGCAAAAAAAAAACTAATTGACAGTACAAGTTGAATTTATTGTTCAATCAAAACTTTTCAAACTTGTTTGTTCGGTTTTATTTGGTTTGAAAAGAGTCTAATTAAATTATTTTTAAAATAATAGTGCAGTCTTATGAATTGCTTTTATATATATAAAAGATTTCTTTAAATATAAAAATTCAAAACCCAACCCCCTCCCACCCACAAAACCTTTTTGTCTTTTGTTGATGCTTATTAATAATATATTATGATAACTGACACCTAAGTTTTATTACAAAAATCTCCAGACTGGCGTCAAACTAATTATATAATGTTTTTTACAGCCTACATTAAACTGGCAATGAATATGATTTAAAAGTACATTATAGTCACTTATTTGAATTATGTAAAATATATTACTACAACATAGAAATTACATTAGCAGTATTTGCATTGATCTATGCTGTTTTTCTAACTGTTTATTCCCTATTTTTTTCAAAATACGCTTACTCTTGGTACCTTATTTAAGTCATATTGAAATATTTTTTATAGATTGTTTAATACATTATAAAGTTAAGGTGGCCCAAATTCATCTTTATTCTTTACTATATATAAAGCTATGCCCACACATCAAATGTATTGGTGTGCGGGCATACCTTTTTGGGCTTGAACTTTAATAATAGTTTAATAATATTGATTTTTGAGTTAGCTAAGTTGTGTTGTTAACGCACTGTACTATTCTACTGGCTTTTAAACTAAACAAACATTTACATATCTAGTTTTATCGAAAAACAGTTAAAATCATGCAAACAACCTTTAATTTTCTTAAATCTCACAATAACGCAGTACTTTTATTAAAAACAACATTTAAAAAAAATAATTTTAAACTTTATTTCTACTTTATTTTCTTCGACTAACCATTCGTGAAGTGCTTTTTAAGCGAAATTTGCGTTTCACTTTCACCATCATTTTAAGTTAATCACTGACTCTGCCAGCAGAATGCTCCGTTATTTTTAAAATCATCAACGATACAAATTGCTTTTATTTTTTAGAGGTTTTTGAAATTTTTTTTGTTTTTGTAGGATCGAACGTAGTTTTACTTGTAGAATTATTGAGCTAAATTAGAGAGAAAAATGTGAGAGTTCTGAGTTAATGGAACAATAGAACAAAATAACTATTACTTTTAGGCTACTTTTAGGCTTTAGTATTCCTCGAGAAATTTATTAATAAGGAAAATACTTAAAGCATAAAAAAAACTTTAAAGTATTAATCAGTTTTGATTTTAATTAAGATGGATTTTTTTTTCTGTGTTGTTCAGAAACTTTTAAAATAAATTGACGATGCTCTTAAAACTTGCATTATTTTTCAAATTAGATTTATTGGACACATACCCCATCGATTGTTGGACACATACCCCATCGATTGTTGAATATTTATTGATAATAAACAAAACAAATAAAAAATGTGGACATATGGCCTTCTGGTTCTTGGCTGACAAGTTATTTAAAAAAATATTCTGGAGTTAGATAATTTTGGAAAAACGTCTATTTTTGTGTATTTATCTGGAGCCATTTTTGATCATTTATTAGCCCTAACAAATCAAAAGAGGCCAAGAGCGTGACTTAATTAAAAAATAAAAAAAGATTAAAGAATTTAATGTCGGAAATTTTGGTTTTCCAATTTAAAAAGTTTTTGGCCATCATTGTTTTGGTAAAGTCTGACAATTTTTTATTAAATAAAGGTATAATAATAAGCTCTTTTTTTTTTTTTTTAATATATTTCTTCACTAAAAAAGAATACAATGCCGTGTTATAAAAATACAATCTACATGATCGGGTTTAAAAGAAGACGCCATTGGCCTTATCACTACGCCCCGACGTGCTTTCATTAACAAACGTGTACAACCATTAAAAGGTAAACGTAAAATTACTTTTTAACATTTAAAAATTATATACAATAGAGAAAGATAAAAACAGTTTTTCAGCTTGTTATTTAATAAAGTGTTCCATAATTTAGGATCTTTTATGGCAATAGAAAATTGGGTAGCCAAATAATGCATTTTCAGTTGCTCCTATGAAATTCTTGCAGGGTACATGTGATTAATTTTATTGAAAAATGTACTAAATGTTATAGGTAATATTTTATTATGAAGTCTGTACATTGAGTATGCGATTATTTTTAAATAGTTTTTTAGTATGTGTGAATCGGCCTGCAACTCTTCGTGCTAAAAGTGTCGGTTAACACTGAAGGTTTTGGTTAAAAAAAGCTCATTTTAAACCTAAATTTACTTGATTAAATATTTATGATTTGATGTTAGTAGACCACTCAAAAAATAAAAGTTTGAGTAATTAATATTAACTTTTAAAAATA